TATCCCATGCTCCATGAGCAGCACAATTGTTTTTAATTTAAGGAAGTGATTGAGGAATAAGAAGTAGTTCAGACCAGGTAGGAGACAGTGGAGTCTGGACAATTATCCCTTTGAAAGCCTCTTGTAACCAGCCCGCTGTCTGTTTCTGCCCCTCAAGGTAAAGAAGGCCCAGCCTTCTGCAATGTTCCATAAATTGGATAAGAACTAAATAAATGCTGGTCAATGCATACGTGGGCACAGAGGGAGAGCTTACTGAGATCTTGGTGGCTGTTTGCACACGGATTGCTCCCCACCCATCCTGGGTAGCAACTGAGCTTTCTGGAACTGAGAATCGTGCTTCTCTGAAGTTGGTCAGAATCGCTTTGTTCCTCGTTCCAGTTTTCTGGCGTTGTTACTCTGTCATCAATCAGAACAACTCCACTTCCCAACTTTGTCATCTCCACATTTTGTAACTTTGCTATTTCTTTACTCCAGACATTGAAATAAATGTTGGTCTGGAAGCCAAGGACATTTTAGTCTAGTCCCACATTAAATAAAATCATTCACTTGCATACAAATTTGCAGAACTCCACTCGTATCTAGGGCAAATTTTGCTACACCGCTGGCAGGAATTTCATGCACACTTTTGCAAAATGCCTTGCTGAGATCCATATAAACTGTGGCTAGGATGTTCAGACAATCACAGTTCCAGTGGTCCTCTAAAAATGTAAATGACTTTGGGAAAACTTGGTTCTTAGGAAATGCTAATTGGATTCTAGTCATTAAAACTTTAATTTCTTTAAAAATGTTATTAAATTATCAATTTTATAAATTTAGAAAGTAAAAAGGGAAATAATGTATATCCTATCAGCTATTTGACAATGAATACAATTGTAGTGTGTTCTGATAAGCATACCTTTGTATAATTAACACTTTATAGTGATTTCAAAGATTAACTCTGAGGGCTGGAGGCATGGCTCAAGTGGCAGAGCGTCTGCCAGCAAGTGTGAGGCTCTGAGTTAAAAATGCCATTCTGTTAGAAAAAAAAAAAAAAGACCTGCATGTTTTTGAATATTGCCTCAGTTTATGTTCTCATGGGTTTCATAACATATCATCCTGGGCTGGAAGTGTAAGTTTCTAATACACCCAAACCACTGGGCATTTGGACTACATTTGAGTTTTAAATGATAAATAATGACATAATGAATATTTTGTATATAGAGTTTTTATTTTATATTTTACCTGGCTAAATCTTAGAAGTTTTATATTTGGGTTTGTTGTCTGGTTTATGCTGCAGTAACAAATTATCACACACTCTGTCAGGTGCTGGTGACATCTGTAATCCTGGTTACTTGTGAGGCTGAGATTGGGAGGATCATGGTTTGAGGCCAGCTGAGGCAAATAGTTTGTGAGACCCCCATCTCCAAAATAACCAGAGCAAAGTGGACTGGAGGTGTGGCTCTAGGAATTGAGCACCTGCTTTGCAAACATGTGAAGCCCTGAGTTCAAACTCCAGTCCCCCCTACCCCAGCAAATATCACACCCTCCAATTTCATTTACCTAACAAAGCCCCAAAAGAAAAAAGTTCTTAAACTTCAATGCCATACCACATGAAAGTTAATTTCTCACTCTTTCCTCTTCTTGAGGCTGGCTCTCGATTGGCCTCCGTGATTGGTGTGGCTGGGAGAGAACTGGAGGTCGCATGGAGCTTTTGGCTGCTTCAGTTTGTTGACTGTACCCACAATCCACTGCTCAGAATTAGGCAAGTGTTTCCACCACACTGCAATGGGTGCTGGGAAGTGTGTCTTCTGTGAGCTCACCATGAACAGGGGCATTACAGGTGGTGAGAATTAAAGTCTCTTGCGGTGGAATGGTTTTGAACTCTGTCACTGAGCTAAGCCAGAACTACATTTGCCATCTATGTCCATAGGAGGTATTTTCATGAGCTTGGGTGGTAGAAGTGAGGCAGCAGCCCCAAGTTTGGAAGCCGCAGGTGAAAGGTACCACTGCAGCCACACCTTAGGACTAGGTTCACCTTGTTGGGGTGGAGCAGAGGCTGAGGGGCAGGTTCATGGTGAAGGGCGCAGCTTCGTTAGGTCATCTATCTGCCTGTAGAATTTGGAAGATTTCAGTTTGTCCCCGCTCTCCCCTATTTCGCACCCAGCTTTTCTTCCCATCCACCAGCCCACGGCCCAACAGTGACTTCCAACCCATAGCCACCCTTCCATAGAGTTCGTCATTATGAGCAGGCCCAGTTTTTTTTATTCGAGCATAGTGCTAGGAAGACAGGATCACAAAGAATTCACATTGAGAGAAAAGGGAACAGGTTATGGCACACAGAGAGGAAGATATGATTGTCCAAAGTGAAGAGAGATATAAAAATAAAACACAGCCTAAAGCAGGTGTGCAGCAGGAGCAGCCTCGGAGGTAAGAGGGGCTATGGGAGGAGGTGCACCGTGCACTGTGGAGGAAACAGGGTTAAGGTGTACTGCTGTGCACTGTGCAGGAAATGCTCACATGCAAAGCTGCTGGAAGCTGGTATTGTCCAAGGACTAGAGATAAAGGGGGTAGGCTGATCTCAGGAGAATCCACAATGAAACTCTAAAGCAAGCATTTTCTGCTTAATTGAGTCTCACTGAGTTGAGCAAGTAATCTCTGTGTTCCTATCAGTTTTCTATCTGCATAAAGTTTGGTCTGTGAGAGTCTGTTTGGCAGGTGACACGTGAAGAATTGGCACCAATGTTGGGGGTGGGGAGTGCAGCACAGCAGAGGCTATTATGCAGATATTTCTGGCCTGGGGTCGTTTTCTGAAGACCCGGCCTTCTCAGACTTCCTCAAAATACCCCATTGGCCAGATGAAGGCAGGTGACCTGTGGACTTCCTAACACTGCTGTCCAAATGCATGCACAGTACCTTGTGCTGACAATCCCTTTCACTGGAGGAAGGACTCCCTTCCTCCCCAACCTTGTCTCTGACTCCAAACAAAGCAAAGCAGGTCTTGCCACACTGCTTCAAGGAACTGTGGCGTGCTGGCAAATACCCATACGAGCAAGGAAATCTATTCAAAATTGCATGTGACTCAGGCCACTTGTGGACACTAGCTGGAGCAGGCTTTGTTCTCTTCTGAAGGGAACTGTCATTGGGAACAGGATGTGAAGACCCAGGAAATCCCAGATGACCCCTTGGCTGTACCCACTGAGCTCTTGCAGGGTGCAGATATACCAGTGTGTGTTGGTAAAATGTGAAATTGGCCAATTCCCAAGAAACCTGGCTACGTTGCTCCATCTGGATTAGTTCAGTGTGGTTCAGATCAACAGTTTTTGACCCTTGGGCCTTGCTACATAAAATAACAATAATAGTGATGCTTTTTTATACCAATGCAGATGCTTAAGAGACATGGCACGACATGAAAAATGCACTGAAAATATCACACACAAGAGTCATACAAGTCCAGTTTTATTAGTAATAACTTATACATTATCTGGCCTTGGCATATTTTATCAGAATCATGTTTTATTTGAAGCAAACATATTCATTCTCTACTGGAGGAGGCAAGACACTTGGTGGTGTGAGAAGCATTGGCAAGGTAACTTCATAAATTATTCAAGGCTGTGGAAACTCCAGCTCCAAGATGGGTGCCTGGACTTGTTTTCAGATTTCTCAGTCTTCACCTGTGTTCCAGCTCTGCTTGATTGTGGAACTGTGTGCTCTCCTCTCCTAAATGGGAGTGTCATCAATGACAGCAGCAAATGGTGACTGGAGGGCTCAACTGGCCTCAGGCATTTTATAAAAGCTGGAATTGGCTGTCAAATTTTGACAACAGACAGCTTAGCATGGCCTAGCGTGGCTCCTCACACGAGAGGCACGCACCTCACCGTTTCACACATCTCAGTCCTTGCCTGGCCCCTGAAGGCACATGTGTTTGTGCTGCAATGTCTGCTGTCTCTGTTAGGCACCGTGTCATGTGTCACAGCATTTTGGAATGGTCTCTGGGTCAGGACATGCCAGCTTGTTATTCAAGACAGATTTTAAACAGCTGTGGGGGGATCCGCCAGGTTACAGTTGCTTCCCACAAAGCATTGTTCTCTCTCTGTCTCGAGGGTCTGTGCCCTGTCCCATTACCGTGCTGGCACAGTATTTTCTTGCTTCTGTCCAGTCTTCTGGGTTCCCAGAATGTTAAGCCTTTCCATCCTATTATCTGGGCACACTCCTCCATTTCCCTACGGATCATACTGGGAAGAAGTCCCCATCTTCACCTCCCTTCACCAACCCGAGCCTCTCCACTCATTCCCAGTCCTGGGGGAAGGCCTGGGTCACACTGTGTTGCTGCTTGTAATTAAACAACTACGAATCTAAAAGGCCAGCCAAAATACTGAGTTGTGAGCTGAGACTACAGGATAGGTACGCGATTAATTCTGACTTGAATGAATTATCTTCCTGATATTATCGGCAATCTACTAGAAACTGCAGTTTTTTGTCAACAGAAAAAAATGTCAATGTGCAAGAAAATAATCTCTTTTTAAGGCTAAGTTCTAACAGGGTAGAAAATACGATAAAGCTCTGCATCCATACAATTTAATATTTATAATATTACTATTAGATGACACAGCATTTCTAATCTCAGGTGATATTGTAGTTTAGAAGACATACCACCTTTAACTCTTGTGTCTCAGAATAGAAACACAGGGGAACAAAACCCTTTTGAAATTAAAAATACTATCAGCAGAAACTGAGACCTTTAAACCAATATGGATTTTAATTACTAAATATTTTTAAATCTCCCTTCACATCCCCTATGTCAACATGAGGGTGAAGATATTCACCAGGTCAAAAGTTCCAGTGATATTAACACACATACACATAACAATACTTGTCATATTTCCCCGAGGTCATCTCCTCCTTCATGAATATAAAGCCCTGGAAAGTGCCTTTTTTGTTTGCTTGTCTTTATTTTAGGCAGGAAAAAAAAAAAAAAGAGGCATTAGAACGCAGCAAGGAAATTTTTTAAATTTTGAGTCTTGTCAGTTGCAATGTCTTTGGAACATTTTCCCACAGGAAAAAAATGCTGTCAAATACTGCCTGCACACTGGCTAGAGATGTTAAGTCACTTCCAGACAACATTTCTGTCCCCAGTGACTTATCCTCTATAGAATGAGCTATCACGGTGTCAGCAAGATCAGATAGTCTGTCACTGGAAAGATGGGTTGCTCACATCTGTACACATTACTTCATTCTCTGGACTTTTCAGACATCAGAAATACTCCGTTCTGTACTGGAGTACAGACAGTTTCCTATATGGGAATATGCTTATTTTTTCAATCTTTCTCTTCTTTTCCTCACCCACAAAACTGCCTGATTAAAATAGTTTAAGTTCTACCTAATATTGCTACCAGCAATGATAGCCTGGGATTTAAAACAAAACAAAACAAAAAACAATGGCTGCTTTAGTCTAATTCTGGGGACAGCACTAAAATATGACATAAAGTTTTAATAAAGAACTGAGGATCACTGAGTGACAAACTTCTCATATACTCATTGCATGCCCATGACGTTCAAAGGTTCTTAGTATTTCTGAGCGGTGGATGTCAGGACCTGGTGAGTTGGGGGATTTCTATCTGAAGGACTGGCTGAGTTTTCCTGTATATGCAGAAAGACCATGATTTGGCAATTTTAGGAACTGACAGATAAATCTATATTAGGACAATCCAAAAGCTTTAAAAATTGTCACAGCAAACCCTGTGTAGCTCTTGGTGGCAATAACCATGAGTTCAAAGCCAATCTCAGAGTCCAGTGTTGTGCCTCTGGTCCCTGGCCACAAAGACATTCTCCTCGTGCTTTTATCATCCACCTTTTGCTCTAATGTCCCAAATGGATAGTGTCTAAAGATAACCTGACCAAACCAGGTTATTTTCTCCTTCAACAAATTCTGATCGCAGGATTCAACATAAAACAACTTGGGAAGAGATTGTGATTTTCTTGTATACCGAAAGCCCTGACTGTCACAGTTTCACACGTGTAACTGAAATGCAGCAGTTTCTTGGGTATTTAATAAATTTCTTGGATTTTTTCTCAATAAGATAAATAAAAGCCCTCAGTTTCTCAGGCAAAACAAGGATGGATCATGTTCTCTTCACCCCATGTTTGTAAGACAGACAAGGCAACCATCACAGCTCAGTATTCCGCTCACCTTGAAGAGTTCTCACTTATTAATCTCAGTGTACTTTGGTAGCAAATATCTGTACTTAAAGAATTCTTCCTGGGGATTTCTGTCAGGTATTTTCCCCCACAGCTTTTACACTCTTAGTCTATACATGACTTAAAACATATTCTTAACAAGTTACATGAAAACCTTCTTTTGTGCTGTGCATTGACAGAACCATGTGCATTTTAGAAGAAGCAAGCAGGCAGTGACATGGTCAGGGCGAGGGGCAGCAGCTCCTAAGCAGTACATTCCTGGAGCTGTAGGTCTGCTGTGATTCCTTTTATAGATTAAGAAATTGCCCAGTGACCGTGACAGTTTGGAAGCATTAACATTTTCCTTTTTGACTCATTTTTAATCTTTTCAGTTATTTTTCTTAGCAAAACTTAGTCTCCAAAGTGTGAGTTCCTGTATCACGACCTGTGCACAATTAAAAGAAATAAATTCCAACCAAGAATGACAGAGGCTGCAGTCAGCATTCAAGACAGGCAGGTCCTGTGGGTTGAGGGTTGTTGCTTTCTCTGCCCTGCCTTGCCCTGCCTCACCCACCCTCTCTGGCCCAGTGCTGGCTGCCTCCTGTTGCACTGGGAACCGTGATGTGTGCTTTCCACGGCTGCTTTGCAGCTTGGGTCTTCTCAGCCGTGGAAACACAGTCACAGATTGTTCTGGGAGCTAAACCACTCAGCATCTTGGCACTTGGTTGTTTTTAACTTTTCAACAATAGGCACTGTTCACTCCCCTCCATCGCCGTCCTTTATTCAGTGCTGAGGCAGGGCGCTGGTGCAGGGCTAGTCACGGCTCCCCCATGGTATCAGTGTGGTGGCATGTGATTATTCACGTGGGGGGTGTTTGATCCCAGGAAGCCCAGTCTCTGCTTGTTCTTCCTTTGTTCTGTCATCTGGGGAAAAGAGAGAGTGTTCAGCTGATTTTCTCACTCTTCCCCAGTGCTGATGGGCCACAATCATTTTGTGTTAATTTTTCCCACATACCTACTGTCTGGCATTATATAGAATATATTTATCAAAAAAGGGGAAATTTTTTAAAGTGAATTTCCAAAACAGAGACAAGAAACAACCACCCCTCTGTGGTTAGGAAACAGGACCACAGTCCTTTTAAAACACATCTTGCTTGTTCCATCGCTATCACCATCACCATTGCTGTTCTAATTTTTACAATGCTAACTATGTGCCGACAAAGGAGTTGATTATGGCATCAAAGTGGCAGTTACTTGGATGATCTGCTTTTCTGATGAGCTCAGTCATTGGAAGTAGGCAGAAAATATGATCTTTTATCAGAAAGTGTAAAGGGTCCTTATATTTTGGTATTTTTTTCCTTGTTTGCCCCTTCTACAGAAGGAGGAATGTTACACAGGATGGGAAGGTAGACGAGTGGAAGCCTCTGCTTGCTGAGATTGGTTGTACTGCACATCCTGGGGGTGGTTTGTTATGGAGCTGACAGTCCTCTGAGGTGACTCCCTGGCTCCCCAGGTCGCCTTGCTCACTATGGTGCAGGTTCCAGACCCCAGTTCCCTCTGAGTGACTGACCTGCTCCTTGAGCTCCGACAGCTGGCCGGACAGCTGCTTGACCAGACTCATGGTCGATTCTAGCTTCTCCTGTAGGCTCCGAATCTCATTTTGCTCACTGTCGCCTTCATTGCTTACGAGGGACATGGCCCGCATACGAGGAAACCAGTCCAGATTCTTCTCCTGAAAGCAAATACACATGCAGAAATGAGGATGGAAGGGAGTGTCAAGTCAACAAAGAATGACCATAGGCCTACATCATCACTGACATTTAAGCCACAGCAAAAGCTACCCTCTGGCCAGACACTGAGAGTGGGAAACAAGTGGGGGTTAGACATTGGTCTCCATGGGCTTGGGGGAAGATCTCAAATATTAGAACAAACTTGCTACAGGCTCCCAGGGAGGCCTGGGTTGAAGCATGTAGAAGATCACCATGCTTTCTGCGGGCTTCCAGGGAACCTTGGTGAAGGATGGGGCAAGGTCTGGAGGTGGGGAGAGCAGATCCAAGTGTTGGGCGTACAGTGGACACATGAGCTGGCACAGGAGAGAAAGGGCTGCTAGAACAGCAGAGCAAGTTCCAGCCCCACCCTTCTCCTCTCACTTCCTCTACTGAGGGTCCCCATCTGCTCTCTGGCTTCTGGCTCCACTCCGGGAAGAGGGTAACTGTCTGGTTCCTTCAGAAACACTTTATTACTGTGGGGTGACTTCCCCACAAGTACCTAATATCTGGTACCACTTCTGTTTTTCTAGGAGGATGGGATGTGTGTCCTGCATGTATGTGTGGTTGAAAACTACACCTGGTTGCCTACCATCACAGAATCACTGTGCATTACTTATCATGTTTTTCAACCTTCGCAAGCTCTCTGAAAGATAAATCATATTGTTCTTCACTTCACAGTCAAGGAAACAAGATATTCCAACGGGTTAATAACCCATGTCACAAACTAGTGAGTGTCAACCTGGGATTGAAGACTTTGCACCATTGACTGTCAGTCTATTCTCAAAGTCATCTCCTACCACTCCTAGCTGTGAGCTTCTTGCTATAGAGTCTTTCCATCCCAGCAGAGTCCACTGACTGGCCAGGACAGCTTTGCCTGGGGGTCCCAACATGAGGAGTCATCAGAACTGTAGTCTGGATTCTTCCTGGCCCTTTGGTAGGCCTTTTGTGGTTGGTGTTAGTGAATACAAGTTCTCTATAGTTCCCTATCTCCAATGGAAGTGAAAAGGATTAAAAACAAAGCACTCTGAAGCGTTTTACACTACATTTAAACAGCAGCAGCTAATTTGCATTTCAAAGGAGAATAGTCACTTCCTCTTAAGTGGAGAGTGACAGATTCATTCACTCAATTGATCCTTCACCATCTATTGTCAGGTATTTAAGGATGAAATTCAGAAAAGACTGTACCTCTGCTCTCAAGGTTCTTGGGGCTTAGGACAGCCTCCTGCACACTGTCTATCAAAATCCCCTGGGTGGCTTGTAGAGTGGATTCCAACTCCACCACCTCTTTCCCAATCAGAACCTCAGGCAACGGGCATGATACTTATTCTGACGTCATTCAAATGTACAAACTCTGGTCCACAGAGACAGAAGTGATGAGTGACTACCATTGGGGCAGGGCAGGCTAGGGAGACGGGGCACAGCAAAAAGATCTGAAGTAGCTGTTTGGAAAAGAGCAGTGGAAACCAAATGTGGACCCATTAAATGCTTGCAGAGTACAGATGGTGCAGCCAAGTGTGTGGCTATGTGGCAGGGAGTTGGATGGGTGGGACAAAGTGTCTTCCTGGCATGGGTGTAGGGAAGCCAGAAATATCAGCAAAGCAGTGATGGAGTGATGAGCATTTGTGTGGACCAGGAGGAAGGATGAAAAACAGATGTGTGCTATAAGCACCTAATCTTTCCCAACATCCAAGGAACTTAGGTTCTGTCCTCTCCCTGGTATCTATATTATCCAGAGTACTATCTATTATCTGAATTTTACAAATGAAGAAACTGAGGCTAGCAAAGGGGGCCAGTTAGGACCCTAATTTAGATCTGTGTGCATTCTGGTCTGTTGGCAGACCAGGACTATGGAGAGAAAATGGAATAAAATGGAAGGTTCTGAAGGAAGGTAAAGTTTGGGAAATGAAACTTGAAACTTGAGAGTGCCTTAAATCTGGTAAAAGTAAATATTTCCTAACCTGGGGGAGTTAGTGTTTAATGGACAGAGCTTTAGCTGGGAAAGATGAAAAACTGCTGGAGGAGGATGGTGGTGATGGTTGAACAACAACGTCAGTGTACTTAATACCACAAATCTACACTTAAAATGACATAATATAATGTATATGTTACCACAATAAAAAAAAATAACCCAAAATTTGCAGAGGGGAATTCTTTGGATGAATTCTGCACAGAGCCCCTGGGAAGGTCAGTAGTTGGGGGTCGGGTGAGGAGGCTGTGGGCAGTGAAGGACCAACAGCTGTGATGAATGTGCAAGAATGACCCTGAAGTACAGAGGACAGTAGAGGGAACAGCTAGAAAATACATCTTTATGACGGGTACTAGGTGTGATGAATTCGCTGACCTTCTTCTAGGGCCCCAGGGGTGGAAAATAGGTAGCCACCACCAGGGGGCTGTGTGAGGAGACAGGTCTTTAAGAGGCCAGGGGTTCAGCCTGGCTGCTGGGCAGGATTTGGGAGCATCAGAGGACTGGGTTTGAGGTGAGCAGCCCCAGGTGATGTGAGGGGCAATGAGAATACCAACTTTCAGAAAGTTATCAGAAGAAACAGGGAGAAAATCCTTAGCAGACCAAGCCAGAGGGGACAACAGTGGGAGCTGTGAAACTGTTTCCAAAGAAATGCTGTTTATTTCAGGCATCCAGTCCAAGCCCTGCTTTTGAAGAAACAATGGTAGCTCTCAGCGGACCCCTGCTGGAGCCACAGCCACGGGATGCACTCTGTCTCTTAATTTGTCCCTTTGTCCATCTACTCCTTCAATAATTCTTACTTGAGATTCCTGTGTTTGTGCTAGGCACCAGGAAAACAATAGCAAGCAAAACCCAGCACAGTCCTAGTGCTCCTGAAAGATACTCGGGTGGGGAGTGAGACTTCAATGGGTGGATGACAAACAGTGACAAGCTGTGCTTAAGTGCCAGGTGAAAACAATGCACCAGCCTGTCCTTTCTCAGTTCCCAAAAACCATTCTCTCTTTTAACCCACTTTTGTTTTTCCTGGTCTTTCTTTTGTTTTAGGTATGTTTATTATTTCACTCCTCACTCCCCTTGTATATCAACTGTCCATAATCTGAAATGAAAATATAATAATTTTTTTAATGCTAAATATTTTTTCCTTTTCCTATTTTGAGACCCAAGTTGAATGCTTTACATCTCTCACTATAATGAACAAAATACCCAACTAAAATTGTTTTTGTCCTCTTTCTTCAAATGAAGCCAGTCTTAAAAAAAACTTTAAAATCCTCTGAACATCAACTTAGAAATTGATAGCAAAAGACAGGATTGTAAAATAGGTTCAGAGTGTGTGTGTGTGTGTGTGTGTGTGTGTGTGTGTGTGTGTGTGTGACTTGTAGGAGGGGGAAGACTGAACGAAGGAGATCAAGGTGAGGGAGTATGGTTGATGGATTTCCTATATTTACATGAAATAGGACAAAGAAACCTCTCACAGTTGCTTTAAGTGGGGATGAGGAGGGGTGAAGGGTGAGTTGGTGGAGGAGATCTAACCAATGTACAAATGTAGGCTTATTTGGAATTGTCACAATGAACCCCTCTTGTATAACAAATATATCCTAATAAAAATTAAAATAAAAACAAAGTAAGTGTTTAATGAAATAGGTATTTAATGTAGGTAATTAATGTATTTACTGAATACAGGTAAATTTGTATTTAATATAAAAAATCCCCATCAGTTTCACAACTGGTTTTTCTTCAAAATCCATACAGAAAGTATATTCTTTAAAAAAAAAAAACTTTATTAGCATAAATTAATTGTATGAAGGATTTCATTGTGATACTGACATTTACATAAAGTACTTTGATCAAATTCACCCCATCTGCACATTATTCCTCTTTTCCCCAAAGTTAACTGTGGAGTACTGAGGATAAATATTGTCTGTGCTTTTTTATTTTCATCTAAAGTAGCTCCCAAGTAAACACCCCCAAAATTCCCTCTCTGGCTCACTGTTTTCCATGGAAGTTTCATCTGGAGCAAGGTGAGGAGGAAGGAGAACCCTGGAGCTCAGTCAGCCTAAACCGGAACCTCAAGACAGACACACAGATCAGTTACTGTGAGCAGGACACCCTTCCTCACCATGGCGACTGGTAACAGCTTGCCACCTAACATAGCAGTTTAATTCGGCTTGCTCACACACAAGATTCATGGGACTCTTGTGACCAGGCACATGGTTATCAGATTCCCAAGTTGCTTGGGTTAGTCAATACGAAATCAGTTCCTTATTTTACCAGGAACGAAAATATCTGACCACAGAGTAGCAGAAAGTCAGGGGCGTGGTGGATTAGCGGTTAGACGCTGAGGCTGCAACGTATGAGCCTAATAACTTGGTGGGTGGAAATTCAGACCTTTCATAGGTTTCTAAAATCCAAAGCTCAGAGATGTCCCCTTTAGGACTTATTTAGCATGAGAATCACAATTCTCTTGCTAAAAGTATCTAATAACATTCTAATAGCGATGTACCGGTAACATTTAATGACAAGGTATCTAATAACTTCTAATAACAGTGTATCTTTCTGGATGACTAGAAGACCAATATTAGTATAAATATCTTTCAAATAGTCCTTTTGACTACAGTCAGATAGATTTGACCTATTAAGGTTTATAGTTACTCAATAAAAAGATTAGGTTGTCAGTATCAGTCAAAGATTATCTGTGCTGTTTCCATGCTTGGTTCATTAAAAGTGGGACCAAGGTAATGCCCAGTGGAAGGAGTAGGATAGCACACCTGGGCTCTGACTTTATCTTGGCTTGAACTAGCTATGTGGTGAAAAGGGAGAGAGACTTACTCTCCGAGTCCCCATTTGCTTTTCTGTATTCTGGTTTTCTGTAAAACCAGAATATTACCTACATGACGTCTATGACTTCTCCAGTCTATCATTCTGTGAGCTATGAATACAAGGAAGCCCAGGAGGGCTTTGAATTTGCCATGTAGCTCAGGCTGCTCTCACACTTGTCATCCT